CCAAAACAGCCAAGAGATAGCTTAAGAACATCTATTTCTCTACAAAATCTCAGTCTTTTTCCCTCCTTGTTACTAAAATTCCCTAAATCTGAAATCTCACTGAGTTAATTTTATTAATTCTCAAAGCAAACGCAAATATTAAGAGAATGTGGCACACAGCTGTCTTGAGTATTCACTATACCCATTTTTGAGGGGTCTAGTAACCGGGTTCACCATGAGTCAGAATCGACTTGAGGCAACTAACAACCAGAAGCAACCGCTGAAATGGTTTAGAGACTCCATTTACAGACTCTTCATGAGAGGTGCACAGCTCCCTGGCTTCCGCTCACCCCGAGATACCCCCGCGCCAGGCAGAACAGCAAAGTCCAAAGCACGTGCTACTCACATGAGTACAGAGAAAATCCCACCCTAAGTCATACTGCCACAAGACGGGGTCTGTGCAGCAAGGCTGTTTGCTTCCAGAAGGTCCAAGCCCCCACACCAGTGTCCCCTCTGACCCCCAGCCACCTGTTGTTTAACAATAAAACCCGCATGAGCACGTGCTGTTTGCTCTGTGTGTCCTTGGAGGAATGGAGGAGGGAGAAGGAGTAGTGGTCTAGCTGTGTGAAAAGCAAAGACGCTAACGTTTACCAATCACCTACTTAGTGCCAGACATTATGTACAGCAAGGTAAAGATCATTACCCTACGTTACAGACAAAACCCTCAGAACGCTTAAGTGATTTCACTCATTGTGAATAGGAAAAGACAAGCAGGGATGTGAACCCAGATCTGAATCAGTTTTGCTCCAGGGACAGCTCTTCTGAAATAACAATAAATACTTTAACATCCCCCAACCCACTCCCTTACTCCCTTGACCCATTTCACCCAATCTAAGAACCAAACCTCCCAAGCTGGGAACAAACGATACCCAAACTTCCCCCAAAAGCTAGCAGGAAGAACGCGGAACGTTGAGGAAGAGGAGGAGGAGGAAAAGAAGTGTGTGTGAGTATACTTGTACATGTGTACACATACATACACACTCATGTATATTTTCACGTTGTCTTTCTTTCCCACTGAGCTACGAACACTTCTATTAATTAATTCCCCACAGAAAGACCAAGAGCGTCAATTCACCTTGGCTAAAAATGTGACTTCTATAGTATTTACCATTTTAACAAAACTCATGATTGTAAGGGATTTGGAAGATCCCACAGGGAGGATAAAATGGGCACCTCTTTGCCACCCAGTTTCTTTAAGACCCCTATAACTGAGAAGGGAGGAGATGGGAACACCACCACCTCTTCCAGCCCCTGAGGAGTTTTTCGTGGCAATTCTGAAGTACTGCTCAGCTGAAAGCTCTACAAGTTAAACTTGGCAACCGCAACTGCAAAGCCCCAGCCCCAGGATTTTAGGTGTTTACAAACTTGTTGCTGAGTTAGCAGCACGCCCTTGGGAGTGAGCAAACACAAGCTTAAGTCGCCACACACACCCCACCCCCTCCCCAAAGATGGGGGAAAAACTCCAAAAGAGACACATGAGCAAGCCTCAGCAGCTACCAAACCAGTAAAAAGAGGACAAGAATGGAGGGTGAGCAAGGAGAGGTGAGAGGAACCAGCGGGGCAGAAGGAATCAGCTGTAAACACACACCCTGGATGCTGCAGGCAGTTCCAAGTGGCAACCCCCTTCCCCCAGCACCCCCCCGCCCCTCCCACACACAGCAAGCTAAGGAAGAAAGTCTTAGCAAGACTTATTTCTTAGCTTTTCAAGTTTAGGGCTCAGCTGCAAGAGCCAGAAAAACTTGCTACAGATCCTAATTTCTAGGGAGGGTCAGAGTCTCTGAGGACAATCTTTGTCACAAGCTGACAGACATTCCCCATGCGAGGAGAGGAAACCAAGGAATCATCATCCCTTCTCTGTGAGGAAGGGGGCATCAGGCCTCACAGGAAACAAAAAATGTTCCAGTTCCCCAAATGCCTGTGGGTCACTTGGTGCTCTGGAAGAGGCTGCCTCCCCCCTCGTTCCACACTGGGCGGCGTGGAGAGGGCCCTGTTTCCTTGCCTTTTCTCCATGTAACCCCAAAGCCCATGGCACAACATCCCAGCAATGCAGCGACACCCTCCTATGGGCTGTGATAAATGGCCACTCTCTCGCCAAACTGATATTAACTTTTCTTTTTTGTTTTTGATGTTACACACAACCCTGTCCCTGCTGTACCAGAAACCATTTCACCCATCTGTCTGGGAAGATGATCCAATTTTGGTTCTTTTATCATCCATGCTTTCAGTAACTTCGTTCTACTTCCTCTACTATAATTACTTTTGAATCATCAACACACCTTAACAGACTTAAAACAGAGAACAGAATGCTAAAAAATATTTTGAAGACCTGCAGTGGCAAACAACTTCACTAAAAAATCACCCAAGATAGGAGCAGTTTGTTTCCCTCCAGAAATTTACTTATTAACAAAACGCCTCCCATTCCTTTCCCGTTTTCCAAAGGGAGGCAGGGCATGGGAAATGGGATGCAGCATTGGGTAGGGGGTGGGCAAGGAACTCCTAAAACTCCTAAAGGAGCCAATTAAAACATCTGCCCCTTTGTTTTTTAAAGATGCAGGCTTAATTTGTAAATTATGAGGGCCTCAGAAAGCTGGCTAAGTGGTTGCTGGATGCCCAAGCAGCCCAGAAAGAAGTGTGCCTTTTCTGGAATGCAATCAAATTAATGGGAGATTCGGCTGGCTGCTGGCTTGAGAACTCAGATTCCTCCAAGGATAGTAAGTTTGAAGAGCAAACCACAAAAAAGGGAAACAAAAAAAGTAAATCCGAGAAAATTCAACCAACATCAGCAACCCAGCACTGCCAAGAAACTAGCTGCTTTGGTTTCTGCTGTTATCTTATTCTGTTCCTCTCCATTTGCCCTGGTGTTTGAACCTTCCAGCTCTGATTTGTAAACGCCCCTTTAGCAGTTCAGCCATCCCTGACTCCTGGCATGGGCCCATCAGAGTAGAGGACCTGGGTAGGGAAACACAAGAGTTGTTCTTCCAGCTTCTCATCACCACTGGCCTCTGTGGAATCCTTCTATACCCAAATTTCTCCACCTCTTGCTCACTCTTGGGGTCTTTTGCTGGGATAAGAGAGTGGGAAAAGAGTCAGGAGTAAAATTATGCACACAGGCAGCCTCCCTTTTCCAGCCCTCAACAAAGCAGAGCAGCCAGCAAAGGCAGTGAAGTTGCTGCCTGGGTCACACAGCCAGTTAGTGATGCAGCCAGGAGAGCAGACATCATGCCAAAACCGAGATCAAAACCGAGACAGGGGCTTTTCTGGGGGTTTGGGTTTGTAGCAGGCAAGGCTCTGTCCTTCCATAGCGCAGGCTTACTTAAAGAAGGGCTAGCGATACACGAAGCACACACAGCACTCCCCCCTACGTTCCACTAAGAGAATTAAGGAATGGCTGACACCACCAACCAGCTTCTCTGTTTCTAGGCAAGTGTGGGGAGTTCCTTGGGACAGTGAACCTCAGTAATAAGTGACCTATTCACCACTTAGATGTTACTAAACCAGGGGTGCGTAGGATACGGTGGGACACTGAGGCCCTGCACCTACCCTCCACCAGGCTCTGTTGTTATTGTTAGGGGCCGTGGAGTTGGTTCCGATGATTCACAGCGATCCCATGCTCGACAGATCGAAACACTGCCCTGCCCAGTCCAGGCTCTAGGCCTTCAGCATATTCAACTGCAGTACTGGCCCTTCACGCCCTGTTCTTGGTGTGTGTGTGGAGCGGGATGTGGGGGGACAGGGCACTCCGGATTTGGTCCCATGAACGTCTCTCTCCCTAGCCTCTGGGCCAGGTGGCCCCGACCCGGGAATGCTCCAAAAAAAAAAAAAAAAGGCGCTAGTCCCTACTTCCCGTGGAAATTCTGTCCGCTGTTTTGGACACATTCTTCAATGCCACAAGAAGAACGTGGGGGAGGCGAGGAAAGAGTTTTGGGGCCTCTACTGTGACCAAACTAACAAGAGATTCCACCCTCGGGCCTCAACCTTTCCCCCGCCCCCCGAGAGGCCCCGGCGCCATCCCGTTCCCGGGCCCAAGCCCACCCCAGAAAGGGCGCGCGCTCCCCCTCGCGTCTCCTCCGCCTGACCCTCAGAAAGGCAAGAGGCTGCGGGCCGCTGCCAAAGGGAACTCGCACTTCTTCGCTGCGCGATTCGGAAACACGCCGAGTATGAGGCCATCAGGCGAATTATATAACCAGGGACACCGCTCCCAGGCGAAACAAACGCGGCTCTGTGTGTGCAGCGGCGGCCCCGGGGGAGCGCACCGGGGCAGGGAGGGGCTCCGGCGGGCTTCGAGTCCGGGTTGTTTGCTCAGCTAAACTGGCGGGAGGCAGCCCGGCGAAGGCCCCGCGCCGCCGAGGTCCCGGGCCCAGCCCAGAGCAGGGGCCGGCCAAGTCCGGCGCTTCCAGGGCCCAGCCCCTCCCCCACCCGGCCGCCCCCGCCTCCAGGCGGCGAACTTGGTCCCAAGTCCCGCCGGACGCCGTCACCGCCCGCCACTGGAGCGACCTCGGGCTGGGGGACCTGGGAAGTGCTGGACTCCCGTCCCGGCTCCGCTCCAGCTGAGGACTCCTCTGTCCCCCTCCCTACCCCTTTCCGGGTGGTTCTGGGGCAGCCAGGCGCTGCGGTACTGGGAAGTGACGACCCCACCCCGCAACTCAGGAGGGGGTGGACGCCAGTGAGCTCCAGCTTCGCGCGCTACTCCTCCGTCTCCCTGCCCCGGGGGGAGGGGTGCGGTACCCGGTGACAGCTGCGCGGATACCGCCCCTCCCCCTCGGGCGCCGGGAGCCTGGGCCCAATGCAGCCCCCACCGGGGTCGGAGTGCCGATCCGGACGCGTGGGCAGACGGACTAGGGGATCTGGTTTAGAATCGCCGGGATTCCTCGCTTTGAGCCCCGGGAGGCCCGGAGCCGGGCCGGTGCTAGCCCCCTCCCCGCCGGGGGCGACGCAAAGTTTTGGGAAGTTGCTGCCCCTACCTTGCTTGGTGAGCACCAGGGCGTCTTCCCTCCGCGCCTGGGTGATGATAGAGCCGTGTTCCATCTAACAATCCCGCGGGCCCGGGCTGGCTGGGCGGGAGGACGGGCGGGCGCGCACGCTGGGCTGGGCTGGGCTGGGGGGCCTGGGCGGGGGCCGGCTCCTGCTCCGGCTCCCGAGACTCCGACTCCCGCAGCTGTTCACATCCCCCCTCTCGTTCCCTCCCTGGGCCGGGAAGGGAGGTGGCCTGTAAGGAGGGCGGGCGGCCGGGGCAGCGGCTCCCCCGGGTGCCCCCAGCCCCGATCCCCCGGCGTCAGCTCCGGGCTCCTCAGTTTGGGTCCAACATGGAGAATCCGGAGCGAAAACAAGAGGAGGAAATGGGACACGGGGCGGTTTCCAGGCTCCCCCCTCCCCTCCGTACTCCAGATAAACAACCCGCGGCTGCAGCGCCCACCCCCGCGTGCTTCCCAGCTCTGAACCCGGCCTCTCCACAGCCCACCGGCGCTTCCTGCTCCAGGGCAGCGTCGTAGGCCCCGGGATCCTCCACCTGTGAACTGCTGGGGCTGCGGACCATCCAGAGCTTTGCTATTTTGTTACGGAAAAAGCGAATCCCCGAGGGGGGTGGGGTGGCGGGCGAGCAGGCTGGCTGGGGAGACTTGAAACCGCTCCGGTACTCCGATTGGCCCACTCGGAGAAAAGGGGCGTGGCCCCTCCTTACTATGCGTTGCGAGGACCCAACAACATTCCAGTCGCTACGGCCACGCCCCTGGGCCACTCCCCCCTCGCTGGGCTGCATCCGCCCATCTCCTCGGCCACACCCCCTTCCCAACTCTTAAAAGGCCACTCCAAAGCTGAGGTTTCCCTACTCAGTGGTGGGGTATTCGTGTTTGGGCGATTACATTCGGAGAAGGCGGAGAGGTTCTGTCTTTTGGGTAACCGGGTGGAGCCGGGAAGTCTAACCCGGGTCAGGCCAGGTTGGGAGGATTTGGGGCAGTTTTCTTCCTACTTGGCCCTCGAATCGTGGGCCTGCTGTTTCACATAAAAGGGTACAACCATGGAATCCGGAAGCGGGTGTGTTGGGGGGCGGCCCTAGGACTCTAGAATGTTAGAGCTGGAACTGACCAGAGGACGGTCTGACCCACACACTTTATTTGAGGAGGCTTGAGGTGCTGTGCTTTGCTCAAAGCCACTCACTCCCATTCAGGGCTTTCCCCTTCCTCCTAACGGACCCCCACCCC